GTAGTGACTCCTTGCCCCTGACTGGCTTCCGATCCATCGACACTTGTACCTGTGTCCTCCTGCATCAGTTCATGCTGCAGGATCATCTTGTAGGTCCCCTTCACTGGAAACACCCGCCTTCTCTGCTCCTTTCTTCTGTGGTCTGGGGAAGTCATCCTGGGGCTGGGCTCCATCGTATGGTGCGGGAGCTGGTGAATTGGTACAGCAGAGGCTCCCAGAAGAAGGTGGCGTGGTTGCCGGGGATAGTGACCTTCAGGCTCACGGGTCGCCAGCATGACACGGGCTTTCTCCTCCACCTTTCTGCTATGTTTGTTTTCCTTATTGCCAAGATGTCAACTCCACACTTCTCCTCTCTTCCTCCAGTCATTTGCACCCTGCTCCCTGTGTAAACCTAGCCTTGCACTTCATGCCCATCTTGCCTGCCTTTGGTCTTCCCCTGTCCTTGTTCCTGTGCTATTTCCAGACTGACATGGCTCCCCAAAAAACACAAATCCCATCACCTTTTATCTCCCTAAGGCCTTTGCTCCTGGGATTCTGCTGTTCTCTACTACAATGATAATTTTACTGTATCCATGGAGGTATTTCGCCCAATGTACAGCACACTTCGAATGACCCACTTTAACACACAGCCCTCTGAGCGCTGTCCCTGCAGCCGTTACCAGTTCCTTTGTTTGTGTTCAGAATAAAACCACTCTAATGAGCTTCTGCGGCTGACTATCTGCACTTTCTTATTTCCTGTTAACTCTCTTTATTGAATTATGAAATCTTTGGAGCATACAGAAAAGGATAATAACCTAATGAATGTCCACCAAACCAGCTCCATTTGATCTTAATATATATTTTTAACATTTGCTTTGTAGCTTACTTTTTATTTTAGTGGAAGAGCAGCATCCCAGATAAAGTTGATGGCCCTGGATTAGACACAGTGCTCCCTCTCTCCCTCCTCAGTGATCAAAAGCCTGATCTTGGTATTTATCACTCCTGTCAAATGGAAATACCACAGGTGCTATTCAACCCTGGGTATGTGTCCATAAAATGTACAGGCATCCTGCTTCAGTTTCAGAACTTTGTAGAAAGTGGTGGTATTCTGGTAAACTGGCTCTCTGCCATCTTGCCAACTGGACTACAAAGAACACACACTTTTGGCAGTATAAACATAGTCAAGATGCCTTCCCAAGTGGTCATACCAGTTAGCATCTACATGGACCCTTAACAGTCCCTGAATTTATCCAAAATCCCCCTTGCCCATATTTAAGAACAGTTGAACTTGTCGGGCCTTTTCATTGCTGCTAATCTGATTGAGGAGCACTGGGACGTCCTTGTTTCACTAGGACTTCATGATTACTAAGGAAGTTGTGTGCTATTTACATGTATTGGCTGTTGAGCTCCATTCCCTTTGCATATTTTTGTATTGTTCTGCTCTTTCCAGTGGATTATTAGAGAAGTTGGAGAGTGTATTCTGTCTACCATCTTTTGTTATTTGTATGTGCTGAAAATTCCCCTGGGCCTTAGCTTGCTTTTAAGTTATATATTGTTATATGGAAGATCTAAACTTTAATGTGGTTTGCTGTATTGATTTTTGTTTTCTTTATGGCTGTTCTTTGTATCTTATTTTAAGAACTGCTTCCTTACCCAGAGGTCATATGGATAGTTTCTTATAGGTTGTTCTAAGTGTTTTGTTTCTTACTTTTGCTTACATCTGCTTTGAAGTTACTTCTACAAATGGCTTGAGGGAAGTATCTAATTCAGGGTGTGCACATCTGGGCAGTCAATTGTCTTGAGCTCCTCCTTCGCCAAAGAGCCACATGCTGACTTTTTTCATGTCTAGGTGGGTCTGCTCATGGGCTGTCCCTTGTGCTCTTCTCTTTGTCCATCCCTCAATGTCTTAATTTTGATAGCTTTATGAACAATATCTAGCTAACAACACCACTATTATTCAGCAATTTCCTTAACTATTTACAGAATTTTGCTCTTTGGGCTGGGGATAGGGCTCGGCAGTCTAAGCATCTGCCTGGCAATGGCAAGGACCAGGGTTTGATCCTCGGTACCACATGCCATGCAGGCCCTGGAACTGCATAGAAAGACCTTGTATCAAATAAATAAATACATAAATAGAATTTTGCTCTTGCTTACACATTTTATGATCTTCCTCGAAAGAAGGTTGAAGTTTGGTGGAATCTGTGTGATGTGAAAAGAATGAATTTGGGAGCATCTGACATTATATACTGTGTCACTCTATGTGTAGGTATGGAATGGCATAGCAGCAGTTTGTCAAGGCCTTATTTAGGCTCTCTAAATTTAGTTACGTAAATTTCTCATCAAAGTCTTTTGAAACTTGCAGAGCTTTCTCTTTGTTCTCATTTTGTTGATCTATACAATTTCCTCAGTATTTGTAATGACAATAATTGTATTACTTTATGTCTCTCTTTTTGATCTTTTTCTTAGTGTTGATGTGTGTATAAGAAGGATGCTTGGGGTGAGTGAGACGACCCAGGGCCAGCTGGATCCTCATTCGACCCACAGCCCAGGCCTAGCATAGAACCTGCAGCAGAACTCCCTGCAAAGAGGCTAGAGTCGAGACCCACCCAGCTCATTCAGGAACAGAACATCATGCCAGAGTGGCACAGAGGGTTCAGCTCCAAAGGCCACAACAGGAAGAAATGGAGCACAGCAACCAGATCCAAGCCACACCCACTTGGACAAGTTTGAACTTGGTAGATCTGGACTTGGTGCTAAGGTAATAACTCTATCTAAGCTCTACACCAAAGGTCAGAAGACAGTGCTGTAGAAAATGACAAAAAGAAGGAACAAAATGCAGTCTCAGGCCCTGAGCACACCCAGAACAAATGCAGAAAACACTAGCATAGAAGAAATTAGAAATCACACACCTGAAATCTCTGAAATAACAGTGTCTGAAGTAAAGAAACAACTATAGAAAAGTATAGAGAAAATCATATCAGAAATAATTTCTGAAGTAAAAAAAGAAATGATATCTATACTGATAGAAGTACTAAGTGCTTCTAAAGAAGACTCTGATAAAAAAAATAGAGCAGAATATAAAAATGATGGAATCCTCTAATAAGCAATATAGGAAAGAAATAGAATGCATAAATAAAGCAGATCCAAAGTGATATACAGGAATTTAAAACCTCAATCACAAGCTGGCAAAGCTGTTTGAATGAAACTGAGAATAGATTTTCAGACCTTAAAGATACCATTGCAGTTAGTGAAAAACTAAGAAAAGATCTTTTAAAAGCAACTAGGATGCAGGAAAAATAATTCAATACCTGCAAGACGATGCAAAGATGAACAACATGAGACTAATAGGCATCAATGAGAAGGAAGGAGTCAATACAAATGATATAAAAAGAATATGCATGGAAGTAATAGCATAAAACTTCCAAATATGGGAAAACTATCTGATATTCAGTTAACCAAAGCATATAGAACTCCAAATAACATTTACCCAATGAAAACCACACCCAGACATATAATAATCAAGATCCTAGAAATTTAGCACAGGAACAGTATACTAAAAACTGCTAAAGAAAAGAAACAGATCATGCTTAAAGGAAAACCCATGAGGATAACAGCAGATTTCTCTTCACAAACCATCAAGGCAAGAAAAGCATGGAACAGAGTACTTCAAGTCTTACAAGAGGGGGCTGGTGAGATGGCTCAGTGGTCTAAAGCACCTACTTAGAACAAGCTTAGCAAAGCACAGGGACCGCGGTTCAATCCCCCAGCACCATATGCCA